GAGGTCCCCCCCCACCTTTTTTTTTTTTTTTTTTGAGTGGGGTCCAAGGGCCCCCTCCATCCTAAAGTCAGATAGATTCAGAGACACAACCTGTGTGTGTGCTGGACTGCAAGGACAAATAGGATATTTGGGGATGTTTTTGTCTCATCGTGCTGTCGTTATGCTTTTCCGCCCACCCACCTGTCCGACTGTCAAAGTATTATAGAGGGATGATCTGAAAAATTATTAGAATCTCACTTCGACACCCGTGTGCACACAAAAATAGTCATTCTCTGGGGTTTTTGTCCTTTAAATGTCTACCATTTTTCAAATCAATCTCTGTCAACATGTGTATCTGTTACCATATAGTAACAGCAACACTAACAGCTGTAGAGAATTGGATTTTAGCGTGCATGCGTCGCAATACGACTGTATGTTGTTGGGCTCAAGTCACATACTTGAGACTTAGCGACTGAAGAGAATTGGATTTGTGCGAGAGTGTGTGAGTGTGAGTCTGTGTGCTCAGATGAAATTAGTCACCGCTGTCTAAAGCTTTTTACTAGTGTATCACAAACACAATCACGCTAAACACAAACATATAGCCATGACAGCACAGGACATGTTCACAAATAAAAATGTGTTTATTTCTCCTATGCACACAATACTGTGTTTTATTGGAATTTTTGATTCCAATAACACAGGCAGGCTCACTTCACATATATATACACACACTTACATTTTCCTTCTGAGCATTTTAGGCCCCATATTCAAGACTTAGTTGTAGACTGTGTATTTTAAAGGCTTATGGCTAATATTATGCTCATATACATAATATTTTGTATAATAATATAGATTGTATATAATATGATAATAAATTTACAGTACTTTTTTTAATTGAAAGCAAACGAATCACACATAAAATATTCAATATTCACTCAAAATTCACTTAAAAATATTTGAATATTTTATTTAAATATTTCAGTTGAGATTTTGAAAATGACTCAAAGGGGAACTATTATTTATATTAACTGGCCAAGTTAGCACAATGCCAATCATCTCAAATTAGTCAAACATCAGCCAGTTTACATTTATGCATTTGACAGATGCTTTTATCCAAAGAGACTAACATTGCATTCAAATGTTTGGGGTCAGCGGGATATTTTTTTAAGAAATTATTATTTGTATTCAGCAAAGATGCATTAAATTGATCAAAAGCGACAGTAAGACATTTATGATGTTGTAATGTTACAAAAGATTTCGGTTTTAAATAAATGTTGTTCTTTTGAACGTTGATCAAGAAATTCTAAAAAAACAAAATTGTCAAGGTTTCCACAAATATATTAGGCAGAACCACTGTTTTCAACATTGATAATAATGAGAAATGTTTCTTGAGCAGCAAATCAGCATATTAGAATGATTTCTGAAGAATCATGTGACAATCATGAAGACTGGAGTAATGATGCTGAAATTTCAGTTTTGGCATCACAAAAATCATTTACATTTTAAAATATATGAATTTTCTCAAGCATTTTTGAAAAAGTAAATTATGATTATGCGATCAACTGAATTTGTGGGGCCCAGGACAAAATTATCAGGAAGGACTCACTCTGACAATGGATTTGTTTTTGTTTTGTTTTTTAAATCATGTTGGTTGGTGTTTTTTTCCAAATTCCAATTAATGCACAATGCACCTACACTCCTACCTCACCGAGCACTTTTTGTCCTGCTCTACTACAGTTAACCTGGCAATGGAAACCTATGGCTTTTAGACGTGTAAGTGCCCAGGCAGACGGCAACCTCTCCAGCCGCTTCCTCCCAGCTCCCCTCCCTTGTGTGACCCACATGTTGTGGAGTGCGGGGTCAAGCCCCAGAGATCAGAGACACAGAGGAGAAAAAGAGAGACAGAGAGCTGCCCCATTCCTCCCTCCACCCCCTGTTTATCCCTCTGTACCCCTCCTCTCTCTCTCTCATCCTCCACTGAACCTCTGGGTAACAAAAGCAGGCCAGGGCAAGAGAAGGCCCCCTCTGCACATGAGTGTGAGAGGCATGACTGACAGAGCAGAAATACCAGCCCACAGACTCCTCCACAGTCACCATTCAAATAAGCCAGAGAGAGCAAGAGAAGGATGGGTGGATGGAGGGAAAGAGGGAGAAAAGACAATGGAACGCTCTGTATTTGAAGGGGAGAACGAGATAAAAAGAAAGAGAGAAGGAGAAAGAGTAGAAAATGAATAATAGGAACAGGAAGGAGTCTCCAAATGGAAATGAGGACAACACATTCAGGGAGGATTGAAGAAAAAGAGAAGAGAGGAAAGAAAAAAAGAAACGAGAGAGAGAGAGAGAGAGCGAGAGAGGTTTGCTGCTTTGCTGAGCTTTGCAGGTTAACCAAATGTGTAGATCTGGAGAGATTTGCAAAGACATTTTTATTCATCTATAATTAAAGTCTCTCTCTCCCTCGCTCATGCTCTCTGACAGGGGGTTTGTTATGTTTTGTTTGTTTTTTCCTCTACATACACAGAAATATTCCCTCATTGCTTTTCCTGCATGTTCTCACGTGCATGCATAAACACAATTTTGTGCTTACATTAACACAAATGGAGACCACAGGTGCTCTGGCCTGCAAACCCTTTAGCCGGCTCGTCTGAACACTGACTAACAAACTATTAGCATAAAAAAAAAACACTCATTTTCTTAAAGGTAAACATTTAACAGGTTTTTGTGCACGGCATGATTCAGATGTCGTACAAGCACCGCCCAGGAAAGAAATAAAAAATAAATAAATAATTTATAATAATGAAATAAATAATAAGATATTCTGAAGAATGCTGGTAACCAAACAGTTCTGATTACCAAAAAACACTCAAACTCTTCTCAAAATATTATGTGTGACCCTGGAGCACAAAAGCAGTCTTAAGTCGCTGGGGTATATTTGTAGCAATAGCCAAAAATACATT